TTTTAACAAAAAAACGAAGTCCAGATGACATGATTCAACCTTTTTTGATGTTAAGGATAGAAAAAAATAATTACAAATACAAAACAGGTTGAGCAGAGTAAGTAAAGACAGTAGCAGAGTGAAAAGTGTGGTCAGTTTGTCCTCCAGCAGTCTGAGCCTATAGCAGCAGAACTAAGGGACAGCTCAGGAAACCCAAGCCGACCCTAACTATAGGATTTAGCAAAAAGGAAAGTCTTAAGCCTAGTTTTAAAACTGGACAATGTGTCAGCCTCATGGTCAGAGATTGGAAGTTGGTTCCACAAGAGAGGAGCCTGAGAACTGAAAGATCTTCCTCCCATTCTGTTTTTGTAAATTCTAGGAGCCACAAGTAAACCTGCAGTCTGAGAGCGAAGTGCTCTGTTAGGAAAATATGGAACAATAAGATATGTAATCTAAGATGGAGCTAGGTTGTTGAGAGCTTTGTAGGTTAGAAGTAAGATTTTGAATTCTATTCTGGATTTGACAGGGAGCCAATGGAGAGAAGCTAAAACTGGAGAGAGATGATCTCTCCCAGTAACTCTAGTTAAGACTCTGGCAGCAGCATTTTGGATCAACTGAAGACGTTTTAAAGAAGTATTTGGACACCCAGATAATAAACCATTGCAATAGTCCAGTCTAGACGTGACAAATGCATGGACCAGTTTTTCTGCATCATCTTTAGATCAGATGTTTCTAATGTTAGTGATATTACGCAGGTGGAAGAAGGAGGTTCTAGTAACGTTTTTAATGTGGGGGATAAAAGACATGTCCTGATCAAAAATAACACCAAGATTTTTAACATTAGAGCTGGAGGACAGATTAATGCATCTAAGGAGGGAGAAAGACTGAAACATTCATTCCTAAGGTGCTCAGGTCCAAAAACCAAAACCTCAGTCTTGTCCGTGTTCAACAGGAGAAAATTAAGGGTTATACATGTTTTTATGTCTTTAAGACATGCTTGTAGTCTAAGTAGCTGATTGGATTCATTGGGTTTAATGGACAAATATAATTGTGTGTCATCAGCATAACAATGAAAATTTATCCCATGCTGTTTAATAATTTTACCTAATGGAAGCATATATAAAGTAAAGAGTATTGGCCCAAGCACTGAGCCCTGAGGAACTCCATGACTAACTTTGGTGTATGAAGAAGTTTTATTATTTACATTTACAAACTGGAATCTATCAGATGGATATAATTTAAACCATTTTAGAGCCGTTCCTGTAATCCCAACATAATATTCAAGCCTCTGTAGTAAAATATTGTGATCAACTGTATCAAATGCAGCACTGAGGTCTAACAGGACCAGTAGAGACACAAGTCCATTGTCTGAGGCCATAAGAATATCATTAGTGACTTTTACTAGTGCTGTTTCTGTGCTATGATGAGCTCTAAACGCAGACTGAAACTCTTCAAACAGATTAGTTCTTTGTAGATGTTCACGCAACTGACCTGCTACTAGTTTCTCTAGAATTTTTTAGATGAAAGTTAGATTAGATATAGATCTATAGTTGGCCAGAATTTCTGAATCAAGATCACAAATCAAGATTTTTAGTAGGGCCACGAGGTCTAAGATCTTAGAGCAGGTTGCATCATGCCTACTGAGCAGCTCCTGCGTACTAATACAGGCAGAGGTTTCAGGGACTGAGGCAGCATCAGTACTGAATGCAGAGGAAAAAAGAGCAGCGGTTGAAGAGTTAAATATTTGACAACTCTTGGCTGGAGCGGGGGATTTAGACTCATGAATAACAGAGGTTTGGAATGAAATGGGTTTGTAATTTGAAACAATAGCATCCCCAATTCCCAGATTAACCACAGATAAACCGTGAGACAGAACTAAATCAAGTGTATGGCCCTGTTGATGAGTTGGACCAACAACATTTTGCACAAGGTTGAAAGATTGGATCACATTTAGAAACTCCTGCACCAAATGCTTGTCAGGACAGCAAATGTGTACATTAAAGTCTCCCAGAATCAAGACCCTGTCGTAGTTGAGCAGTATTTCAGTCAGAAAGTCAGAAAATTCACTTATAAAGTTTTTGTTGTACGAGGGTGGTCTGTAGATCAGGCAGCAGAGTGTTGGGTTGGAGCGGCCCAGCTCAAAATACAGCAGTTCAGAACTCTGAAAAGCTGCAGCCTGTAGCTGTCTGCAGTTCCAGAGCTTTTTAAAAACTGTTAATTATCCACCACCTCTACCAGAAGTCCTTGGAGCATTAAAAAAGGCACAATCCACTGGCAACAGTTCAGAAAAAACACAACTCATCAGGGACGAGCCAGGTCTCTGTAACAAACATGAAGTCCAGTCCACTGGAGCAGAAAAAGTCGTTTAAGATAAAAGTTTTATTTGCCAGCGACCTCACATTCAGCAGAGCAATCTTTGTAGGACCAGTAGCTGAAGGAAAAGCTGAGCACGGAGCACAGATCAGCTGTTTCAGATTTTTGGAGTTTGAACCGCGCCTCCTAGGACCAGAGACGCCGCAGCTGTGTGCGCGCCAGTGGCACGAGCCAGCCTTGAGTACAGGGATCAGGCAGGACCCAGCAGGATCAGCGAAGCACCTGGACAGGCGAATATCCAGCAGATGGTCAGCAGGAGATGATGCAGCAGTCTGGAGTTGGTTAAGTTCCACTGGAAACGACCAAAACCTTCACGGCTGCGCTGTGCGTACCAGGCCTGGCCACCAGTAGCAGGCTGGCGTTGAGTGGATCAGCGAAGCATCCGCATGGACAATTTAACGTCTGATGGTCAGCAGCAGATGATGAAGCAGCAGAGAGCTTGATGCTGGCTTTAATCCTCACAAGACGGCCGGCACATCTTCCACGGTGCCTGGAGCGATGTTTTCGGGCGGGCAGAAACGCTGCGCGCTTCAGGTAAACAGGGACATCAACAAGCAGAGGGGGTGGGGGTCCAGAGCCCTGATCAAAGTGGTCAAACAAGGCGGGGTTTGCAGTAGATAACTGTATATTTAAAAGTTGTTGGCGATCATAAACATGTAGTGAGTTGTCACAGAAGAAAAATGACAAAAACAGAAAAAAAACTATCAAAACAGACAGAGGTGAACGGCAAGCCACCAGCACCAGCGCCATCTTCCCGGAAGTCAAGTGAAGTTTGCATTGAAGTTGTAAGATGATCAACTAGATGATCTAAGTCTCTGTTCTCTGATGCATTACTCTGCAAGACAGAGGAAAACATTGATGGAAGAGATTGTTTCAATTTGGTTACAGCATTTTCTGATAAGCACCTGCTGAGATGAACTTTACTCTCAGTGACTGTGTAGTCATTTAATGTAAACTCAAAGTTATTAAAAAATGGTTGGACAGAACAGGATTTTGAGGAACTATTACCAAGTCCTTAATCTCTACACCATAGGTCAGAACTAAATCAAGAGTGTGATGATAAGAATGAGTAGATGTGCGGACGTTTTGGGTAAAACCAAATGAGTCTATTAAATTATTAAAGGCTATGATTAAACTATCACTCTCAACATCCACATGAATATTGAAATCACCCATTATGATGATTTTATCAGTATTTAATAGTAAGAACAAGGGTTTAAGGAAAAAAAATATTTATGTTTACACACACACACACACACACATTATATATATATATATAT